CCCCAAAACCCCAAAACCCCAAAACCCCGTGGTGAATTTAAGAACTTGTGTTATAAGTAATTTAAATATATAATATGGAAGACAGGGTTTGACAAGAGAGGATACAGAAGTTTATATCAATTCCTCAACGTAATTTACTCTATGACCGGGAGAGATTCATGGTTTCCCTGAGGAAGAAGCGGTATGGGTCCTAGTTCATAGCTTTAGATTCCTTGAGAGGTCTAATAAGAAGAGGTTTCATAATGAAATTCCCCGCACAAGTAAGTAATCTTTGGATTATCACCTACAGAATCAGCAGATTCTATCTACCAGGCTGAAGAAGAGATCAAGAGCATCAGAGAATTGCTCCAAGAGGATTTTGACAGGAATAGCTATAAGGTCAGGAAGATAATAATCTTTAGATGAGGGAGCAAATTGATAATATTAAGAGTAACATGAAGTCCTACAGCGCCTTAATGACAAACCAGGGTGACCAACAATCCCTTGCTGAACTTCATTTCGAAACTTCCAGAGCGATTCACATTGTGGAGTGCTTGATCTGAGATCCTAAACTATTAGAAGGGATGAAAGAACAGTCATCTTCTATTGTACAAAATATGATAGAGTGGATTTTGATGCTGATCAATTTGTTAGAAATGACAAAGGAACAAATCTCAACTTTGAGTGAATATTTATCCAAAATCTTGTGGCTTATTGCGTGATTACTGGAGTATGTCTTCAGAATTCCTCAGGAAGATCAGAGTAAATTCAAGACTTTCAATATCACTGATATACGGTCAAGCAATCTTTTGTATAAATTAGGCTTAATTTTGGAAGTTATATGGCTCGAAAAGGAAGAAGATAGCTCTCAAAATGATAAAACAAGCCCATTTAATACTAAACAGAGGGCCAAATTTGAAATTCTGAGTGAAATTGTGATACTCAGTGGGAACATAATTTCTGATAACCCTCAAGATGTTCTTGAAATAATAGACACAGGAATTTTGATGACCATTTACAAATGAATAGCTGTAAGCTCCTCTCATCACTCATAGCTAACCGAGCAAGATTCTAATATTATCGAGTGCTACATTTGGCTATTGAAGCTAATCGTCCTGACCTTGACACGAGATGATATCAATCAGGAGACCAAGGCTAAGATTCTTCTCAGGATCGAGCCCCAAGTTGAGACTATACATGAGCTATTATTCTACGATGATCCTAAAATCAGGATTGACACATGCCGCTGTTTCGAAGTGTAAGTAGTGGTTTAACCTCTAGAATCCATGAATGCGAGTTCTATCGAGAAACACTCTTTGAAGATATCCTAAAGTGAGTTCAAGTAGTTATTTTATAGTGATAGATGTATTAATCGACTCTACGATCTCCTTACAGATATAGTAGAAAGGTACCATTCGAAGTTACTCTTTAGGGACTGGTATGCAGACCGTGAGAAGTGAGATGAAGTCCGCAGTTATCTCAGTATCCTTGGTCTTTACACTAGCTTTTCTAAAGATCTTGAGGAATTTACGTATAAATTTCAGCCTATTTTTGGGAAATTGAGTAGCTTCACATGTGAGGAAACTTGTATGTACATTCTCATGATCCTGAGCCACATCCTTTATGAATGAGAAGGTAAGGTTGAACAGTAATCATAGACGAAACATGAACAGATCTTGCTCTTTCATTCTTAGAAAAGAACTCAGCCCAAATCAAGGGAGCAGCACTTAAAGTTCTTTCAATAATCCTATCCTGAAGAGGTACTAAATCATTCTGAGAACTTGTGATTAAGTTTGATATTATCGAGAGGGTAAGCTAAATTCCTAAGCATAGCTTAAAATCAGCCTCAATCCAAAAGAGCCTTGAGGAAACATCGCAGCAGCTCTAGACATCCTCATCATGATATATGACAGAGTTGAGGAATGCATTCATGAATTTGGCTTAAATTATTCAGAAAGCGAGGTATGCTAATTCAGCTATCGTATAGAACATAGATCCAAATATTCAACAAGATTGCCAAGGATACGTTCAAGAAATAAGTGAGTCCTTAAAATCACCATAGATGATTGATTCAACTCTGCTGGAGTCTGAGATCTCCTTGAAAATCTGCTAGACTCTCCTGAGGAATACATCCGTGATAAATCTGATGAACTTCATAATCTACTCAAAGATGATGAAACAAATACTTATGACCACTTCAAGGTCCAAGATGAAGTGGAAGATTTATGTTTTTACTAAAATTAGTTCAATAAGATCCTTATTATGTGGGGTTTTGGGGTTTTGGGGTTTTGGGGTTTTGGGG